CAGCCTGCTGCCATCCCAGCCCTGGGCTCCCCCCAGCTCTGCCGGTAGCCCTCACTCCTGACCTGACCTGCAGCACCCCCTCTCCCCTCCCTGGTTCCAGGTTACCGGTGCATGGTCTGTGATCGCGGACAGGCCATTCCAAGGGCGCCGTGGGGCAGGGGCTGGGCCAGCTAGAGAAGCTGCCCCAAGAATTGTGCGCTGGGGGCGGGTCCTGTCCCAATAACTGGCTCGGGTTTGGTGGGATCCCGGCCTGTGGCTGAGCTGGTGCTTTCTGCATGTGTGTGTGTGTGTGTGTGTGTGCTTGTGTGTGTGGTGGGGGGGGGGACCCTGATCCCTGGGAGGTGCATGAGCAGACACAAAGCAGGTTTGATCCCCTCCAGCAGGGGGCAGCAGGACACATGAGCACACACACACACACACACACAAAGTTTGTTAGGTCTCAGCTCCCATGTTGCTAGTCCTTGACCCAGCAGAGAGGTCCATGTGCCCCAGGCCCTGGCGCTGCCCTGTGACCCCCCCCCCCAGCACGAACGCCCATGCCCCATTGCACATGAGGACTGTCTCCCTCCTTCTGGCCAGTGGGGGGCAGTATCCCCTAGAGATTTTACCCACAATCCCCCAAAGCTCTTGGCCCAGCCCTGCTCAGGCTAGGGACAGCCAAAGACCTCTCTGGATTAGGCTGAAATGAATGCAGATATACAAATGAGCCCAGGTAGTGATTTGCATACATTTATATCCCCCACCCCCCATAGCCTTCACCCAGTTTGGCCTGTCAACTCCTGTGGCTGTTGGATCAGAAAACCACCAAAGGCCCTTTCCCACTTGCCTCAGTTTCCCCTCCCCCACTGTGGCTGTTTAAACCGAGTGCTGTGGGGCAGGGACTGTCTCAGGGAAGGTCTTCACTAGCAACGTTAAAGCGCTGTGTAGTTAACGTGGCTGTGTAGTCACGGCACCAGCGCTCTCGCTGTAAAAGCCCCACCCCCACGAGGGGAGTAGCGCCCTGCGCTGGTGCACTGTCTACACTGACACTTTACAGCGCTGAAGCTTGCAGTGCTCAGGGGGGTGTTTTTTCACACACACCCCGAGCGAGAAAGTTGGAGCGCTGTAAAGTGCCAGTGTAGACAAGGCCTCACTGGGTCTGTGCAGTGTGTGTGTGTGGGGGGGGCTATATGCACACAAAGATGCACAGACACCCCCCTCCCTCGGACAAACATGGGAGGGGGGTGTCTGTGCATCTTTGACTGATCCCAGCACTGGGAGAGGTGGGATACCTAACCCAGGTTGATGGGCACATGGAGCGGCTCTGAGATGGTGGGGCAGGGGAGTATGTGGGGCTGGTGGCTGCATCTCAGTGCTGGACGAGCTATCTCACTGTGGCTTTATGTGCGGCTGTTCACCAGCTGCCCTGCCCCAGAGGTGGCTGCATCTCAGTGCCAGGCGAGCTGTCTCTCTGTGGTATGGGTGGCTGTTCCCTGGCTGCCCTGCCCCAGAAGTGGCTGCATATCAGCGCAGGGTGCACCGTCCCTCTGTGCTGATATGTGCGGCTGTTCCCCAGCTGCCCCACCCCAGAGGTGGCTGCATCTCAGGGCCAGGAGAGCCATCCCTGGATCTCCTGCTCGGAAAGCCCTGTAGAGAGTAGCGGTAGCTGTGGGTGACGGTGGGGAGGGAGCACGGCAGGGCCGGCTTGAGACGTTGCCCCCTCCACAGCCAGGCAGCTCCCCCCGCCCCCCAGGAGCCGAGCCGCGTCTGACTCCCATTGGCCGCCTCCCTCCTCCACGCGCAGCAAAAAAAAAAAAAAAAAAGCCGCTTTCCGCCCGCCCGCTCCCTCCCTCTCGGACTCTGCCGCATTTGCTCCTGAGACGGGAGAGACCCACGGCTGCAGCATGGCCACCCCCACCGAGGCACCTAGGCACGGTGAGTCCCCCCTCCCCCGGCCACCCGCACCAGGGGGCCTGAATCCCACAGCGCCCAGATCCTCCCTGCGCCCGCGGTGCCCGATTCCCCTGCGCCCATGGTGCCCGATTCCCCTCTGCCCACGGTGCCTGATTCCCCTCGGCCCACAGTGCCCAATTCCCCTGCACCCACGGTGCCCGATTACCTCTGCTGCCACAGTGCCTGATTATCCTCCGCCCACAGTGCCCGATTCCCCTGCGCCCACAGCGCCCAGTTCCTCCCTGCGCCCACGGTGCCCGATTCCCCTCGGCCCACAGTGCC